AGCTAATGCGGCTCAAGCCGAGGAATCCATGTGTCCTTCGGAATGCAGACATCAACTAACCTAGCAGAGTCTCTATTCGAAATTCGCACTGTAGGTCTAGCTGCTGGCATATTATTCATTCCACAGAGCATGGCCCGATTTGCCGATCTCATCTCACCCTGCCTCTCTTCTTCTAACAGCTGCTCTTTGTCCTTCGATCAGATTACTAATTCAATGAATGATATTGGGAACCTACGACACTCGAGCCACGAGGAGCATCGCGTGCTACAGGTAATACAACAGCTGATGAGATCCTGCAAGTGTGAAAGGCGGTTGGTGCAGGGGTGATAAGCCTTGTCTACCTAACTTAATCAGAAGATATTGGACTGCATTGGGGAACTACAACGTTCTCTGCTTTGCCGCCTTTCAGTCGTCTCTGTGCAACGCTGGCCATTGGCGGAACCGCTCGCCTAATATTATTCAATACTACCACACCCACTCAGAACGGAACTTTTTGCCCGCCCTCTACCCAATGAGTTCATGGGACATTGGGAGTCACCTGTCGCTAGCGACGCGGCGCACGGCCATCATCAGCCTTGGGTCTAGGTCGGTCAAAAACGCTGGTCCAAGTGTTCTAAGCCATAGTATCGGCTGATGGATCGAAAACAAGGCGTTCGAACAGCCCTACACCGACTTCGTGAGGCAAAAAGAGTAAGATGAACGATTGATGCAGGCATGAACCAGGATAAGCCGAATATCCTTTCGAGGAAAGTGGGTCGAGCCCAAGAACGATCCGTTCTTGCGCGACAGCAAAACTGCCATCGATGTCTTGATGATCTCGTATGATAATAGTATGTCTAAGAATTCTGGATAGGGTGATGGATCCTTACTCGTGCTGCAAAATCGGCATATAACCACGTATGTTTGAAGGGTCGCTGTCTCAATTACCGTTCATACTCAGACTCTGCCAAACAGTAGGTCGAGGAATGATTGCTCACGAGCCACCAATCCGCGAATATGTAGGCATTCAGCCATGATACCGATTTTTTTTGTTCTATTGCTTTCTCCTCGAATTGAAATATTCCGGCACATATGTCCAATCACAGCGAATTGATATCATTTGTCAGGCGCGATATTGACATATTGGTTCACTTACCTTCTTCAAACTCTAGGGTACCAGGGTTAGGGTTGCACTGTGTAGAAGAAATCATTTGATCAATCTGAGGCTGAACCCAACAGCAAGCATCCCCGACAGTAGCCTGCCGGCGGTAAGATAAGGAGGGGAACATAATATGAAACCAAACGGGTAAAAGATACTCGTGATCGACATCGTGCCTCAGACAGTGGCTAGCTCTCAGTCATTTCGATAAGTATGGTACTGTGGAGTGAGATTATAGTCCAGGAAAGTATAGCGGCATACGAGCATGAGCTCACTACCGAACAGAACCAATGCACGTCAACAAATGAATAATTAGGAATATCACTCTTGTCTTTATTAAGCTATTCGTACATCAAATATCTGTTCAATTTATTTCATTGGAAAAGTGTTGATGTTGAATGGTTCAGGCGAGCCATTGGAGTAAATTCTAAATGGTTTTTCGTAGAAGACGTTTTTTGCAATGCCAAGTCACTGACCAGATATCGATGCTGACCTATGAATCAAGTATGGAAAGAAAACTATAATCTAATTACGCTGTGGGTATATGAAATAGACTCAGTTCTCTTTCTTGATAACTCTTCTGATACGCCGAAATTTCGAAGGGGGCAGCAGGCGAGACTGGAACTATGCTTGCGTTTTATCCACTTCTAGGTGATTTGCCACCTTAGGGATGTGACATCCGGTTAGTCTTACTCTCCCGATAAAGTATTCATTGACCACAATTGAATTTAGGCCGATTCAACTCATTGCCAGCATCGGATTGCCATAAGATCGCTGGCCAGAATAGGCTTGGATGAGAATGAGAGTTGCAACCACTAGATTTCAGGCGTGAGTGTGGGCAGGCATCTGATTGGCTCTGTGTTTTAAGGGTCTTCATGCCGCCACCCGTTGTGCCGGATAATATATTCATCCGGCGGGGTGATTCCAGAACTTGCGTTCCGGCGTCGGAGGGGCACTAGTCAAGCAGGACTCATCTTCGTCCCGAGTGGAAAATCTTTCGACGGTTGAACAAGAAAAACCGCGGCATCATGGCGACCTATTCGAAGAGTGATACTCATACTGAGTCCCAGATCTACCTCTCGACAAGAGGCGGTGATTACGGTGTATGCTATTTTCTTGTCTTTTTGCATTGGTACCGTTCACTCGCTGATTCACTATTGCCAGCTTTCATTTGAGAATGTGGTCTTGAAGGGACTCGCTGCAGATGGCGGTCTTTTTCTGCCTCACGAGATCCCCTCTGCAAAGGATTGGGTATGTCTCTCCCAGACTGATAGCCCTAGCCAAATTTTCACAAGACACCTTGTTGGGCAATTGGCATTGGCTGCAACCCCATGAATGACGATCCCTAGGGGTCTAACAAATCAAATAGGAGAGCTGGAAAGATCTGTCCTACACAGAGTTGGCATTGAAGATCTTCAGCCTATACATTTCAACATCCGAGATCCCAACTGATGACCTGAGAGGCTTAATTGAGCGGAGTTATTCCACATTCCGCTCAAAAGATGTCACTCCATTGGTTCATCTGCACGATAACATCCATTTGCTGGAGCTTTTCCACGGTCCCAGTTTCTCCTTCAAGGACTGCGCCCTGCAGTTTTTGGGTAACCTTTTCGAGTATCTTCTCGCCCGTAAGAATGAGGGCAAGGAAGGCAATGGTAGATTTTCATGACCGTCCCCCTGACATGTCAAGAGACTGACAGGAGAGCAGATAGACATCACTTGACCATTGTCGGCGCTACTAGCGGTGATGTAAGTCATGACCCTCTATATATACACAATTCATTTAGCTGACATTCCGTTAGACTGGATCTGCAGCTATCTATGGTCTTCGAGGCAAGAAGGACGTATCGGTTGTTATCCTGCACCCCAAGGGGCGCATTAGCCCCATCCAGGAAGCACAGATGACGACCTGCCCTGATGCGAACGTTCACAACGTCGCTGTGACCGGAACCTTTGATGATTGCCAGGACATCGTCAAGGCACTGTTCGGAGATGCCGACACAAACAAGGCTTTGAAGCTTGGTGCCGTCAACTCGATCAACTTTTCGCGAATTCTCGCCCAGATTGTTTACTACTTCTACTCATACTTCCAACTCGCCAAGACGTCTTCCACATTCAAGGTTGGCGACAAAGTGCGATTTGTGGTTCCCACCGGAAACTTCGTCAGTTTGCAACCCTACCCCAGCCCGTTGACATCGGCATGAGCTAATTAATTTAATTAGGGTGACATCTTGGCTGGTTACTTTGCTACCCGCATGGGTCTCCCTGTGGACAAGCTTGTCATTGCCACGAACGAGAATGACATTCTTGACCGATTCTGGAAGACAGGCCGATATGAGAAGAATGGGCCGGCTCCCAGCTCTGAGGCCAATGGAGATAACAATGACGATGGCGTGAAGGAGACTCTTAGCCCCGCAATGGACATCCTCGTTTCGAGTAACTTCGAACGCCTCCTCTGGTTCCTCGCATACGAATTCGCCGCGACTGTTGGAATGGACGAGGAGTTCAACAGGAAGCAGGCTGGCCAGGAAGTCAGCGTATGGCTCAAGGACCTCAAGCAAAAGGGAGGCTTTGGCCCCGTCTACCAGGACGTGCTCACTTCCGCGCGAAAGACGTTTGAGAGCGAGAGGGTGAGCGATGCTCAGACTCTGGACACCATCAAGTTATTTTACGAGAAGATCCACTATGTTCTCGATCCTCACTCCGCCGTCGGCGCCGCAGCTACCCTCCGATCCGTTGAGCGAGCTGGAGCCGAGATCCCCCACATCTCTCTCTCCACAGCACACCCAGCCAAGTTCGCTGATGCCGTCGAGAAGGCCCTCAAGGACGAGGCGGGCTTCAACTTTGAGAAGGAGGTGCTGCCCGAGGAGTTTGTTGGGCTTGATAAGCTTCCCAGGCGTGTGACTGAGATCGAGAACAGCTGGCAGGCAGTTGGAAAGCTGGTTGAGGAGCGCGTTTCAGAGGAGCTCAAGGCCAAGAGCGGTTAAGATAAAATTTTGGATAGACTTGCGTTTTTGTTTCACATACCTGTGTTCATATTGTCATTCCCACAAGCATTTCCATCATAATGAAGAGTATGAGAATGGCGCATAGATTTCAAGAGCAACAAAAGATGGAGCAAATCCATTCACAACATGCTTGTCATGGACATAGATTAGGCAGTCGAATATTGGCTCGAGAATCCGAGCAGAAGGACTATTTGATTCAGCAACCACGGCCAGGTGGCGACGGCTGCATAACCGTGTATGGTATTCTCATGAATTAAGCCGAAACTCGAATACGCATGACCATTCATTTAAATTACCAGAATTGTAGGTTTTCTAAGCGAGAAGCCTCATGAAATTTTCCATAGGCGTGCTTAAAGATAAATCGACCAAGGTAGGGAGATATACATGGCCTTGTTTGGTGCCTCTCAGTGAACTTTGAAGGGCAGGGGAAAGACGAGCATACCATACGGCTGATATGATGATTCCACGTGGCGAGGCAAGTAAGAAAATGGAAGATGTATGAGTGATAGTTGTTTTGAAAGTCGGTAATAATAATAATAGGCAGCGACCTACCTAATTAAGGCCGGTGCATCGGCATGTCTTGGTGGGGCCTTGGCTTGGAGGGGCGACTGCCAGGGCGTGTTCCAAGTTAGTTGTCCATTGAAAGCTGCACGCTTGATTGATCCGACCCTCAACACATCACGTCTACACAGAGCTGCCCGCCAGTTGCGACATTGCCGAACTGCGCGCACGTCCTTGCGCCTATATCGCCAGACAACAGACCCGCTGGTTTATCGAAGGCTCCCCTGATCTCGCGACGAGGACACAACCAGAGCTTCCTACTCCACCCAGCCTGACCTGGGCTCGACTTCGCGATGGACTTCTTGAAGTCCGCCGTGGCTTCGGCCATGGCCTCTGGCCCTCCTTTCCCATATACCTACGGCGACAAGGTCGACATCGACGAGTCTATCTGGACCCTGCACAATGGAACCAAGAGGGTACCTAAACCCCCCTCGCTGACTAGCTATACCTTCCTAGCTAACACGCTCCTATCAGGATGATGGCTCCAACTGCAGTATCTTTTCTTTCGACATTCCTGCCAACAAGTCCCTCTTACCGCTGGCGAAAAACGCGCTCAAGAAATTACGAACCCTCCGTCACCCCGGCGTACTCAAGGTCCACGATACCGTCGAGGTACGAAGTCTCCGTACTCATCCGCTCAAACCGGCCCCGAGAGCTGACACAAACACCAGACCGAAACGAAACTATTGATCGCGACCGAGCGCGTTGTTCCCTTGCGATGGCATATACGAAGAAAGAGCTTAAGTCCCGAGACCATCAAATGGGGTTTGCACGGGATTGCGGTACGACGATGGTTTCCCTTCGCTGGCTACTAAGGCAGCCATGCTAATACCTCTCCCAGCGCACGATAAAGTTCATAAATGGCGATGCGTCATCTATACACGGCAGCCTCAAAGTTGGGTCCATCTACACCTCAGAGAGCGGAGAGTGGAAGCTGGGTGGATTCGAGGTGCTGAGTAGTATTAAAGACGACGAGTCTGTCATATATGTAGGGGCGCTTCGTTTCTTTCTAATTTGAGAGGCATTGCAATCGGAAAGCTGACAAAATTCTTAGACTTATGGCTCGTTGGTCCCCGATTCTCCCCGGTATTCTCCTCCAGAAGTCGCACAAAATGGATGGGAGGTTATCAAGAAGCATCCACAGACGGCTGTCGATGCTTTTGATTTTGGAATTTTGGTATTCGAGGTCTTTAATGGAGAATATCACGGTACAGACCAGGCTGGGCAGACCAAAAATGTCCCCCCTTCCATGCAGTCAAGCTACAGGCGACTGTGCAATAACAATCCGAAGGCTCGCATCAGTGTCGGAAACTTCCTGGATCAGGGTGTTCGGACCGGTTCTTTCTTTGACAATTCCCTGATTAAGTTGACAGAAGGAATCGATAACCTGGGTGTGAAAACACCAGAAGAGCGCGAAGAATTTCTTAGGTAAGAAGCGCACTGAGCTTCGAACCGTTTCTATTTGAGTCTAACCATACATATAGTGATCTGGATCAGCTTAGCGACGACTTTCCTGAAGACTTCTTCAAGCTCAAAGTATTACCGGAGCTGATCAAGTCAGTTGAATATGGTGGCGGCGGGCCAAAGGCTCTCAATGTCATCTTCAAGATTGCTACCAAAATGTCTAACGAGGATTTTGAGAGCAAAATCACCCCCTTTGTTGTTCGAGCGTTTTCGAATCCTGACCGCGCCCTTCGAGTTTGTCTGCTGGATAACCTGCATTTAATGATTGATCGGATACCGCAGAAGATTGTCAATGACAAAATATTCCCCCAGCTGGTCAGTTTTTTTTCGTTCCATCAAAATATGCCCGGGTTTCCTCTAACATGAAGGGAATATTCAGGTCACTGGGTTTACGGATGTCGCACCAGTTGTCCGTGAACAGACGCTCAAGTCTGTTCTTGTGATTGTCCCTAAGCTTTCGGATAGAACAATCAATGGTGATTTGTTGAAGCAGCTTGCCAAGACTGCAAATGACGAGCAACCTGGAATCCGCACAAACACGACCATTTGCCTGGGAAAGATCTCTAAGCACCTAGGCACATCCACAAGATCTAAGGTGTTAACCGCGGCGTTCAGTCGCTCATTGAGGGACCCATTTGTGCCTGCGAGGAACGCCGCCCTCATGGCACTTGGAGCGACGGTTGAGCATTTTAGCGATGAGGACTGCGCAGGAAAGATTCTCCCTGTCGTGTGCCCTCTACTCATGGACAAGGACAAGCTTGTTCGGGACTCTGCCAATCGTACAGTCGATACGTATCTTGTCAGAATCCGCAAGGCAGCTTCGGAAATTCCGGACACCACGACCATGGCACCTCAACCTTCGATTAGCGGTATCGCATCGCCGAACGTGACCCAGGGAGAAGTTGCTGGCTGGACAGGATGGGCCATTTCATCATTCACAAACAAGCTGTCTGCGTCGGCCGGCACCATGCAAGCTACAAACGGAAACCTAGTCTCTCCACAGCCCTCACCGGCACTGGATCCACGCAAGTCGGGAGGTGCAAACACCCCTCTAACAGCTTCCCGTGTCACCTCACCCAATCCTGCAACCGTAGCACGAGCTTTCTTCCCGCCTGAGGAGCCACAGGATGATGCGGGTGATGGCTGGGGCGACATGGCCGACGATGACAATGACGGTTTCTCCGAGAAGCCGTCCTCATCTGCTGGCCAGAAGAACTCCACACCAACAGTTGCCGCCGCGCCATTTGATGACGGCGGTGAGCCTGACTTTGCTAGCTGGCTAGAACAGCGAGCAAAAGGCCCAGCAAAATCAAAGCCCCTCCCGAAAGGCCTCGCAAAGTCAACAACAGCTGCGGGAGCAAAGAAGACGGTGACGAAACCAGTTTCAAAACCGGCCGCTAAGCCCCTAGCTGCAAAGAAGATCAATATGGCGCCAAAGGCATCTGCCGACGACGACGAGGGCTGGGGAGACGGTTGGTGATTTTCTTGCCAACTATTAATGAATGCCTTATGAGATACACATACATTGACGAGAGCGAAGTATACATTGGCGTCAAGGGGGGTATTAAAATGCAATTGTTTTCTTCACAACTCCCACCCTCCATACTAGCTGGCTCGACTCGACATCTATCTACTTGTGGGTTTATGGATAAGTAACCAAACCTCTTTTCTATATTGTGGGAGACGAGGAGGAACCTTGGGTGCTTTAGCAAGCGTACATATTGAAGTCCTAGTTTCTTCTGCTGGGTACGCAGTATACAATATTTGCCAATATTTACATAGATTTGGATAATTACGTCTATCAACTACACCTCTGGTGTTGTGTCTAGGAATTTAAGTGTCGCTGTATTTGTCAATTGTATCGAACTCAACTATGTTCTTGGTAACCGCGTTAAGAGTTGAGGAGATACTGCCTTGATCGTGTTAGCTTTGTGTTGCCGAGCTAAGACTATGTCGTATGAAGATGGCCGCAAGGGGATCTTGGGTTGCGTTTTGTTCCTGACGATAATAGCGTTAGAGCTTCCTACTGCGTTGAGGTTGGCATCGTCTTGGGCGCGTTGTGATGTTGGGTGGCGCGGGTATGTTATACTGTTTTGCTGTGTTAGTTGTAGTATAATGGCGCTGTGAGTTGTAATTTTACCTAGCATAATGTCAGGTTAATAAAGCCTCTCGTTGCAGTATCTAGAGACTAGTAATGTGAGTTTTCTAGGAGCATCATCTTGTAATTAGAACTATGTCCATATGAAGATTCTGATGTGGCAAAAAATTATCTCTTGATGGAAATGTCGATGGCAATTAGTTATTGGTTGAGATCTGATCTTCTGTTATAATAACTCTTCCTAGTACACTTGCCTTGCAAACTAATTCTATCTAGGTAGGTAGGTAACTAGTACATTTGACATAACATTGATATACACGACCGTACCCATTCGAAACATGCGATCCCGCCAGTCAGCCTTAGCTATTCTAGTAGGATTTTGGGAAGGGTCCTCATTTTCGCTCAAAATAGATGGATTTAGGGTTCACTTGCCAAGTAGTCTTCTTTTGCTATGAAAATGAATGTTGGTTGGTTTATCGTGTCTGTTTTAAATATATGCTTGAAGGGACAATGTTGAAACTCAGCACGGATCGTGATTCTCTTAAAAACTAGAGAGGTACCGCTGAGCCCACGGTCCCTCGCTTGTGATCTCAAACTCGGTTTCATGCTCAAGATCAAGCTGTCTTATCAGAGAAACCATACGCGAGTGCGATAGATCATAGTCTACGATGGAGATTACACAACGAATTTGCGGTAAACTCGGCGGATACTTCTCAGTAAACGCCCGGAGAACGTCCATGATAGGCTTCTCCTAAAAGTGACCCTTAATATGGCTATCCTTAGTCTCTGGCACCCAGATCCATCCTTCTCGCGGGTCACTTTCCGAACTCAATATCCACTGACAAAGCTTCACATAATTAGATTGTGGCATGAGGCCTGAGATGTGATTGATGGCTTCATTAGAAAGGCTAAAAAGCTGCGCCATTGTTTCTTCTGACACGACTATGGTTATGTATGGCACGTTTGGTTCTGGAGACTAGGAACAACATGCCAGGAACGTTCGATGAACTGACCCTCTTATAGCCATTTCACCGTGACACTGATACATACGACCATACCTATTCGAGAACACGCGATCCCGTCCGCTCTCGCCTAGTTAAACGGATAAGGGGCCGATTAGTAGTTGGGTCGGTGACGACCAGCGAATACCGGCTGTTGTATGTTTTTTTCGTGTTTTTTTTTTATTCTTATTTTTGTTAAATTTGGATGTTGCCGATGTGGATACTTTACTCTGGTAACGCTGCAAGTGGAACGTAAGAACAGGATCAATGTGGGGGCACTATCGGCGCCAAGAACTCGGGGAAATCGATAACACATGTGGGCAAAAAAAAAAGTAGCTCTCCATTCCCAACCATAACGCTCATTCCTGTCACACGAAACCAAAATCCTCCCCCTCCAACCATATACGATTTTTTCGGGAAAAGCGAAACCGCGAAACGTCCGAAACCATGGCTCAGGGCGCCATCAAGATGTCGACCAAGGCCGCGGCCACCAAGGTCGCCCACTCGAAGAAGCAGGCCTCCAAGATCACCAAGCCCAAGCAGCGCAGCAAGGGCAACCCCGACAAGGTCCACCGCAAGTTCACGTCCGGCATGACGGCGCGCACCGAGGCGCTGCTGGGCGAGCGTGCCGGCCACCTCGAGCTGATCGGCCAGGGGAAGAAGGGCAAGAAGGTGGCGAAGGCGGGCGGATCTAAGAGATTTGGTTAGAAAGGGAAAACTGCAGATTTTTTCTTCTTCTCGCCAAATTGATCATCTTGGTCATTCGTCGTTTTCTTGCGAGCTTTCTTCCTTTTTGTATTTCTTGTTTTACAGCTTGAGACGACTATCGAGCTACGACATGGCGTTTTTCTTTGCTTAGCGGGGTCTTTATTGGTTTCTATTATAGACTCGGCAAATCTCTGTATATCCTGAGCGGTCAAATCTACGGGAACAGCGTCACTCGAGGCTGGCGATATCAAACGAACGGCCCTCGGCAACCGCGGCGAGAATCGCCGTGACGACCTTGAAGTCCCGCTCGACGTCCACCTTCCAGTTCGACACGGCGACCCGCACGGCTTTCTCGCCCTTCCAGGCCGTCCCGCTCACGTACATCTGCCTGGTCCGGTTGATCTCCTCGACGAGCCTGGCGTTGAGCTCCGGGTCCCTGGCGCGGAAGAGGACGATGATGAACACCTCGTCAAGGTCCGCGTTGGGGAGCAGCTCGTAGTCGCCCGAGTCGCGGAGGAAGGCGGCCAGCCTGCGCGAGAGCTGGACCATGTTGGACACGAGCTTGGCGAAGCCGGGGCGCCCCTCGCTGAGGAGGGCGGCGTAGGCGGGGAGCGCCCGGAAGCGGCGCGAGTTCTCGAGGCCGACGTTCAGGGGGGACGGGATCGTGGCCGCGGACGAGGAGGCGAGATAGGCGGCGTTTGGGTTCACGAAGACATTCTGGAGTGTAGATAGCGAGCGGGTGAAGAACATGCCACAGTCATACGGCTGTTTGTTTATGCGTTAGCTCAGATGAGATCGAGTCAAAAATTGGGGAGAATAGGTGGAAGTTCGTTTTCTTCCACTTACCACATTCAGGACCTTGTGACCGTCCACTGTGATACTGTCGGCCAATTCCAGTCCAGCCACTCGTTCATGCAGGAGCTTGTATTCGTCGTTGGCTTCCAACACTCGGGCGAAGATACCAAAGGCTATGAACATGCTGGTTAGCTCCGAGACATATTCTCACACACTCTCCCTGTAATTGAGAGGATCAAGGGATCTTTTTACCTCCATCCACATGAATCCAAGCTCCGTACTGGTCAGCAAGAGCCCTGACCCTCTTCATCTCCTCCAGGCCATAAGTCCCGTACCGTCCCGTGTTCACCTCGCCCGCACTGATGGCAATGATGCTCGCCGTACGAGGTCTCTTCAAGTGCTCCTCCAGCGCGTCAAAGTCAAGCCGCCACGGCTCCTCGTCAGACAGCCGCAGCTCCTTGACGGACTGCCTCCCCAGGCCGACGACGCTCGCCGCCTTTGACAGGGAGCTGTGGCCCGCGCTCGTGAGCACCTGGATCTCCTCCACGCCCGCCCTGACGCACGCCCCCAGGATGCCGAGCTCGCCCACCGCCGGGGCCCCGTCACCCAGCCGCCTCGCGAGCACGGCCTCCCGCCCGCAGGCCAGGCCGAGCACGTTGCTCCCCGTGGCGCCCGTGGTCAGCGTCCTTCCCGGCCACCCGTCCCCCAGGCGGAGCAGCGACGCGAGCATCTCGAGGGCCTTGTCCTCGACCGCCGTCGCCACCGTCTGTGCGGGGAGGTGGACCTGGACGTTCTGGTCCATGTGGGAGACGACGCCGTCGGCCCACTGCGAGACGGGGAGGGCGCCCCCCGTCACGAAGCCGTAGTACCGCCCCGAGCGGCCCTGCCCGTTGAGCGCGGGCAGGATGTCCCTCGTGATGTGGCCGACGACGGCCTCAGCGGGCGCGCCGGCGAGGTACGACGCCGACTGGCTCGAGGGGAGCGACGCCTCCGCCGCCTGGATGGACTCCTGGGACGGGAGCGTGGGGTGGTCGAGGGCGCTGGCGTGGCGGTCGACGCACCTCTTCAGCTCGGACAGCTGGGTCTCGGTCTCAAAGTATTCGGCCATCTTTTCTTCTTCCTTTGCTGTGGGTGGTCTGGCAGAATGGTGTTCCGGAGTGGGTTGCCATTTTTTATATGATCTCGGAGCTTCGTGTGAGTCTTTGAGCTGCCGGTGTCGCCCAGCTGCCTGCCAATTTCGGGAATTGGCAGCACGGCTTGAGAGATCCGCTTTCAATGGACTATTCCACTAAAAGAAGGAAATGTAAGAAACTAGTAGCGGTTTAAACGAGTAGGATTGGGTAAACGGGAAACGGGACGCTTTCTCTCCGCCCTGGCCGCTCTGTCCGGCATACCCGCGCGCGCGTTAATGACATCGGACTTCAGGCTTCGGAGTTCAGGCAATAATAGGGTCCGACCGGCCGTACATGTATGTAGGCCGTAGCCAAGACGGGCCGGGAAAGGGGCGGCAGCAGTTGCGGACTGTGAAGTCGGTGTGATGAGTGTATCGTTTATTGGTATCACTATATCGATGATGGCTATTCATAATATCACATATAGAAAACAGATAACCAGGAAGTTTCTCAAGTCTAACCAATAATACAAGAACAACGCTTCGGAGGCTCGCAGCACATCCCCCGAAAAGACGAAAGGTCACACGGTCCAGATCCCAGTGGCCCTGGGCATCGGTCCTCTGTGATTGTCATATCTAAATGAATCTTCATGACCCAGCCGAGGAAAATAGTAGCAGAGCGGTAGGGGAACAAGAGGCGTGCTCCTTTGACGAGGAGCACTGTAGGCATTGGCGGGATGCCGTTTAGCATCCCCCAGCCGTCGCCATATTGTCGTAAAGGTATATGTACGGGATGTAAGCAGTATTCGCCTGCCTATAGCTTCGCGCTCTCGCCGACGGCACCAATCTTGAGTTTCTCGCCGTACTTCTTTAGTACGTGCTCGTTGTGGTATTTCCAAAAGGGCTTGGTAGCATTCTTGCCGGCAAAGCGCTTGAGAATCTTGGCGCCGCCAGGATGCTCCTCCAGAAAGTCTGCAAGTTGATGCGTTAGTCAACATAGTTCTGGCAAGATCAGGTGACGTCGAGGGAACCAGGGGGGTGAGAAGGGCGGGAGTCGAAAGAGCGGGAAGGACAGGCAGGGCACTAGAACTCAACTGGTTATATCGAAGACTTCGTTCTCAACAATAATCCACATGCCATCCTTCTCATCCTTGTGCTTGGCCACCTCGGCCGCGGTGTATGTTTGCGACATGGTGTGACGTGATCAGGCCAGAAAGTCCCGGGGGATAGGGGTGCTGAGAGATGGATGGATCGGAGCGCGTGTTCGAGGCTAGCGATCGTCTATTGTATGTGTCTCCGTTGGGGAGTGCCGTGTCTAGGAGCGAGAGGTATAACGTATGGGTTGAGGGGAGAGAGGCCGAAGAAGACGGGACTGGGCCGGTCGCATTTTTGTAGCCTGTGACCTGTCCTGGGGAGGCGCAATGCCTCGGCATGTGCCAACGGCGGAACCGAATCCGCCAAAATCTGGGGGAGCTGGCGGCCAGCGACAGGCCTTTGGGGGGTTCAGGGAGGGGCAGCCCGCTAGGACACGCGCCCCCCCACCGCTACAGCCAGTAGGAAGAGGCCAATTCGTCAGTGAGTCCAGCGTCTGGAGCCAGCTGATAAGGCCGTTCTGCAGGTCTCGAGTGTCTTGACGCCATCCGCGAAATTATGTCATACGCTGTCGCACCTACTTGCTGCCCTGATCAGGAACATCCTCGGCTGAAGCTGCACCTCAACCCATCCATGTTCAACGGCAAATATACCTCCCTGCAATTAAGAGCCGCGTAGTGTTCGACCATTTATTCTGGTTCGAGGCGCATGGTAGAATTCATTACACAAATAGTCATAATTCATCATCTAGTAGTATACATGAATAGACAATAAACACCAGTCTATAGGCAATTGGCTACAGACGGAAGAGCTGTCTTCCTATTAGGACCTCCCTGAGCTCACTTGCCCGCGACTGGCCGGTGCGATACGGGCTCTCGCTGCGTCGTTGCAAGGCCTCCGGCATCCATTCCTTCATCTTCTCTATCCGATTCTCGTTCTGTATGGATAATTAGTTACCAATCACTCAACCCATTTATGACTTGGTATTTTAGAACTTTATCCGCAGTGTTGACTTACCGAGGGATGTGTACTCAACAGCTCTGGCACCTCCTGGCCTCCCCGCCGAGCAAGGCTCTGCATGCGTTCCCAGTATCCTATCGCCGCCCTGGGGTCGAAACCCGCCTCGGCCATCATCATGAGGCCGATGTAGTCTGCCTCGCTCTCCATCTTTCGTGTCATTGGCAGGCTGAACAGATAGTTCTGGATGAATCGCCCTCCTGATAAACTCCATAGGCCAAATAGAGCCAGTCCAGGAAGGGCCCCGATCAAGAAGAACAAGCTCCCCGATGTCAGGTTGGCCACACACGCGGCCGACATGCGCTCTGCGCTATGGGCGGCAACAGCGTGTGCAATCTCGTGACCCATTACCGCCGCAAGGGCATCTCGGTTCCCACAGACCCTGATCAAGCCGCTGTAGACGAATAATCGATTGCCCGGTGTGACGAAAGCGTTCGCGGTTCCTAGAAAATGAAGATTTGTTAATTACCAGACGGGAAACGTTCCTCACAGAAGAGAAACAGGCAATGGCAAGGGGGCATAGTTCGTACGTTCGTCATCAATCACATGTACCACCCATTCACGGTCCTTCATCCCACTGACAGGAATGAGCTGCTCCATGACCTCCTGCACAACCCTCACGCGCCGGTCCCTCGGCGGCAGGAAGCGCCCGCCCTCCTCCTCAATCTCCTTGGCGATGGCATCGGCGTTGGCTGAGCCCAGTATGTCCAAGAACCCCTCCCCCAGGAAGTTGAACCGCCGGCGGCCGGTGACTGGCACCGTCTGTGAGTTGGCTAGGTAGAAGGCCACGGCCGCACCGACACACCCGACGACGAAGAGTCTCGAGTTCCGGCTGCGGCCTGCATTCTGGAAGCGGTCTGCGGCCTTGTGAGACAGGAGAGGGCGGGCTTCCTGCAGCCTTCGTTGCAAATCGCTGGGGTCGATGTTTCGGCGCTTCTGGGTCGGCGAGTAGAAGCGAGGGCGGGCTGAGCGTGCGACTGTGGCACACGGCGAGGGTGGGAGGCGGAGGATGGCGGCGTTGGCGGGACGGGCGAGGCAGCGCTGCCGGAGCAGGCGCGGGGCCAGCATCTCTCTGGCTGAGGCAGGGGTCGCAGGTCGAGGATCGCAAATTACGGGTGTCGAGGGAGTAGAGCAGTGATGGTGGTTGTGACAATCGACATAACCCCAGCCGGCTCAACCTCTCACCACTGGCGTCACAGCTGCTGGCGCCTTTCCAGTTGCAGGTAGCCTTGTCACCGAGTCTCGGGCATTTTAGTGCAACGGGGCAGTGGTTTGTGCACGGCTGCAGGCGGTTGACTCGCCCCACAGCTGATCTCATGGATCCAGCTCTCTCTATCAGCTTCGCGGTGGATCCGGACCCTTATCTGCTTTCAAATCCATCCTCGACGTTCACCACCTCAACCATGTTAGTTGCCGGGGCCGTCTGACAGCTACTTCTCTTGCAATTTCGATGATGACAGGATTCTTCTGTGTGACCGCTTGTTCCCAAGCTCCATCATGCTCGATTGTGTCGACTCCGCTCCTTCCAATCATACCACCTGGGCTTCAACATAATCAAATCGTCGTTGACCCAGCATAGGATTTCTTTGCCAACCACAGCCATGGATCACCATTGCGTCCAATTATGTCCGATTCAACTACCGGAAGGATTTATTCTCCATGAAGATCTTAAGCTAAGCTTGCCGCACGAGCACCCTAGACTGAATGTCCCAAGCCATGCCTGACGTTTCTCACTCTGAACTCGCGTCAGAGTCTCCGAGTATTCCGTAACCCTGACAGTGACTCTTGTCCCCCACTAACTTCCTAGTCGCTTTCTCACCTCTTCTTCTGAATTTATTCACATCTTAGTTTCCCTAGCTTTCATCCCCTACCTCGCCAGGATCACTTCCGTCCTTAAACTCGCCATACCTGTAGTCACTACGCAAAAGAACAATCCCAAAAATGACTTCCACCTCCTCCAAGGATGAGGCCACCGCCTCTCTCATCCAGCAGTCATTCAAACCCTCAGACAACCCAGAAACCGCCAGCATCCAGGCCGTAGTCGACAAGCTCGGCCTCAGCCCACACATCGAGGGCGGCTACTACAAAGTCACAGACGTCTCCCCCAGCACCATCCCGTCCCCGTACCCGCCCACCCCGCGCTCAAAGGAGACCCTCGCCCTGGCCGGCACCTCCGAGGCCGAGAGCGACGCCTCGGTCCGCCTCATGTCCACGACCATCTTCTACTACCTCACCCCGAACCGGCCCCAGGGCACCTTCCACGCCAACCGGAGCCGCATCATCCACACCCTCCACCACGGCCGCGGGCGCTACGTCCTCATACACCCGGACGGGCGCCTGGAGACCTTCGTCGTCGGGCCCGACATCGCGGCCGGCGAGAGGCTGTCCTGGGTGGTCGAGGGCGGGGTGTGGAAGGCCAGCTTCCTCCTCCCCAGCGAGGAGGCGGAGGAGGAGGGGCTCCTCATCTCCGAGACCGTCGTGCCTGGTTTCGATTACCTGGACCACGAGTTCCTCACGCCGGAAGCTTTCAGTGACCTGCTTCCTGAGGAGACGGCCTCCAAGTTGGAGTGGTTAGTGAGGGAGCAGGAGGAGAAGACGATCCAAGCCGATAGTCTCGAAGCTGGTGGTTCTATGGGGAACAACATAACCCCACGACTATCCCAAGTCAGTTCTTAAGAGACGTTCTTAGCAAAAGTGGAGTTTGATACCTAGATGAGAACCTGCTTTGAGGTCAAAGAACCAACTTTCAAAGAGAACGGCGGAAAAAAGAGCTTCGACAGACCATTGGTTCGGCCGCTTTCGATATCCAAACGCACATAGCTCAAAAGATATAATTGCAAAGATGACATGAAGAAACGATAGACGAACAACAATCAAATGATAACTGAATCCTTTCAATGTCCAAGTTAAAATGTAATTAGATTTGAGACCAAATATGCATACTGTAACCCGAGAAACGAAAGACGGTGTGTCCCATCTCCCCAATTCCCGGCTAACATGATCTATTCCATGTATGTACACTGGTCATACAATTTCAAGAGTAGAAGGCTTCGTCTGTCCAACTCCGTCGTCATCCCTCCTGAGAGGATGTCTCCAAATAATTCAACTTCGTCGTAAAATATGCCGCCATAAATCCGCTCACTGCTTTTGGAGGGGGTATATATATACTCTTCGAGTCGTCTAACAACCGAAATACGGCTGCGAGCCAAGATGGGCTAATATTGTAAAAAAAAAAAAATGAAAAAGAAAAAGAAAATGCCAAAAAGGGGGAACAAAAGATAATAAATGAGAGAACGTTGACGTCGTGTCACATCCATTAGATAAATCGGTCTGGTTTCCTTCTTCCTCTCCGGACGAGCCCCTCGCGTTGCTTCTCCTTTAGAAGTCGCTCAGTCGAGGGCTGCTCGCTCTGCTCTCCTCCGCGCTGCCAGCAACCGACAAGTAGGTCTGGTCGATCCGGAAGATCCAGTCCATCTTATCCCGCTCACTCCTGGCCGCGAACAACCAGGTGTTGTCGGTGCCATATATGGCAAAAACCGCCGCCTGCATCCGCTCACTGAGACGCTGGAGACCTTGCCCATCGCCATTCGTTGATCGGTCGCTCGATCCCGTCCACACCGTAGATATCACCCTGCCCGATGCTGTGCGTCGGTGTCCTGGGGTGAAATCTGCACCACCATTTCGCCCTGGAGGCTGGTCGTAGTCGTCAGGGCCATGCAAAAGTCCGAGAACTCCCGGTTGGCTGTCAACGCGCGAATTACGCAGGCTCACAAGGCCGACCTCGTCTCCGTCCGTTGCTGAATGAATGTGGAGGTAGGGACGACGTAGCTCCACGAACCTCTTCACCCAGCGAGTTGAGTTGTCGTTAGGAACAAGAAGATAACCTCCCTTAAGAACCTTAGGGTTCTTCGGCACGCGGATAATTGTCGTGATCAAGCTTGGAGGAAGGGGAGCCTCCACTGCAACTCCGTCTTCTGGGGGTGCTGTGTTCGCCGGGCTGAGAATATTTGTCAAAGGGTCGGGGAATTTGTTCCATAATTTCACACAACGCTCCAAAAGGTCGGTTTGGATATCGTTGTACTCCCGCTCAACCTGAGGCTCGTCTGATGGGGCAGTCTCCTCCACTGGCTTCTCTTCCTGCTCCTCGGCTGCTTCATCGTCGCCATGAATAGAAGGCGCTGGTGACGTGTCTGGCGTATCATTCAAAAGGTCGTCATCATTGGGGATGATAGGCTTGAGTTCTGGAGACGGCTCCGGCTCCGGTTCCTTCACCTTTGTGTAGTTATTGGTCTCATCCAGACCCATCTTGTTAAGTATGGTTTCCATAGTCCCAACTTCAGTGGCACGGCGCCGCTTCTGACGAGCGCGGATGAAGTCGCTCACCAACGACACCCCGCGAGGAGCCCAGCTCTTCAGATTCTCTTCGCCCTTGACGTAGTCGTGCTGGCTGTTCATCCTCCAAAGATCGCCGATTCTCTTAATTGGGGCGGGGCGCATTGTGAGGGTGAAGATGCCAGTTGATGATCGCACAAACCGGGCATTCTTAAACAGTGAAGAGAAGACTGATGTCTGCCGGACAAAGGTTCTGGGCAGTATCTGCACACAAACTTTTTGTGAAAACTTCATGGGCTCGGCCAGCTTCTCTGAACTGATTTCCCAAGCGACCGTCAGCTGGACTCGGTACTTGTCGGCAGTAACCCGGTCAAGCAACAGAGAGCCGTGCAAGCTTGAGTCCCATTGCGCGCTGACGTTGATGCAGCGGGTTCCGTTGGCATTCTCTCGGAAGACTGGGTTCGATGCGAGCTTCAGAGAGACAAAAGGCTCGTTGGCTGTCATGTTGGGCATCTTGCCAGCGGAGTCCAGAAGCTCTATCTTGCCAATTCGGACTGACGTTACGTCGCCCCAAGGCAAGGCATCTCCAGAGCTGTGCGAGATGTCGATGCTAACACGCCTTTGCAGACCTTGGTGCAGCTGGAACGTGCCGGTATCCAGTTCACTTGTCTGGGCCACTTCGACCGGTGCATACTCGCCTATTTCATCCAGCTCTTTAATCTGAATTCGGGACAGAATATCATGCTTTTCTTGGGTGAAGAACTGGGTCTCATTAATTCGCGAGCCAGATCCATTGGCCATGGGAGAGCTGTCGCGCATATCATCCCAGCTGAGTAGCTTGTCGAGATGCATTGAGGTGACATTTGCGAAGATCGCTGCTCTCAAGGTGACATCAGATGGAGCCGAAAGAGGAACGCTCATGCTATGAACGCTCCCAAACCGGACCGGACCCTCGTCAAATTCATTTATCATCTGAGTTGTTGTGATGCCGTCCTCCTCAGAGATGCCAGGAATAAAGAGCTGGGCATGTACCTCTGTGCCCTCGCGTTCGGCAAACCCAATCAGCTCATGCATGACGACATTGAATTTGAGAGTATTCGAAGGTGCTCGAGCGTGCGAAGGCTCGAGAGATAGCTTGATGATTCCAATAGTGCTTGATGTATACGGAGACAGTACCTCAAGCGCAAAATCTTGGACTCTACTCTCAAACACAGCTCGGAGTGGCACCTCTGCCTCTCCGACGAGAGTATAAGAAGGCATGCAGGCTTCCACGAAAGGGTTGTCGAGACTCAGGTGTTGTGCGTACTCGGGTTGGTCCAAGTACTGGTGCATCTGCCTCATGATTCGCACGCGTTCCAAGAGCTTGTTAAGACTCCAGAGCCGGACGACACCATTTCGGTAATCAACAACCCTGATGCCGATACACGGCTTGGGCGCTTCCTCGAGAGCAATGTCATCGCTCTCGTCTGTCAGGCCATTCAACATCATGTCATAGGACGAGCATACGGAATGCCCGACATCCACGACTGTGAACTGGAAAACGACACTCTCATCAAGCTCATTGCTCATGATCTGCGCCTCTTTCAACGTGGCGGCGCTTTGCAGGACGGCTTCGGCCATCTTGACGTAGTGTCTGCTCCGCCAGACTTTGATGACATCCTTTGCACGCTTCACTTCCTCCTCGGAGAGCTTCGGATTGGCCTTGGGTCGTTTCAAAGGGTCCATCTTCTCAATCTTCTCCTCGTACTTTTTGCGCTGAAGATTGAGCTGCTTCTGCATATCCTCCTTCAGCTCTTTCAACGTGTTCTCCATCCTGACCTTTTCCTTCTTGATCTCTTCAACCTCGACGTTTGCGGCCTCTGCGTTCTTAAGCTGTTCCTGGAACTCCTCCTTCTGTCTTTCAAGCTGATTCTGTAGCTCTTCACGTACATCTTTCAACTTGTCGTCAGAATCGCCTTGTCGCGGTGTAGAGGGCATTGTCAGAGCAGTATCAAGGGAGAAGTTGTCAATCGTGCCCGTGGACAGATACTTTTCTCTGATCGGGTACGAGGTGACGGACTCTGAATCCTCTCCATCTTCTCGGCCCTGAACACGCTCTGCCCTTGCCTTCTGAACGTCTTCAAACAGCGCATTCAACTCTTCATCCGTCAGGCTAGTGAAGTTTTGCTCTGTCCCAAGAATAGCGCCAGCAGCCTCCCTCCGAGCAAGAGACCAGTCCGAGTCTCGTCCTCCACGTCCAAACGCAGCAGGTGAGTCGGGCCTGGATTCGGCAAAATCGGACACTCTACTAATTGTCCTCTCGTGCCCAGATCGCATGGGGCTTGGCGATGGCGTTGGCCTATCTATCAGCTGACTTGCCGTCACCGAGTGTCGCAGCAAACTCCCGCCAACTCCACCCTCCGCTCTCTCTGCTCTGGCTTCCATGGGATGGTTGAATCGGAAGATGTGGAAGTCGCCCAAAATCACTCGGTATCCTGAGTGCAGCTGCGTAGGTTCTGCGATCCGTTTGCCATTAACCATAACGGACGCCCCCTCCGACGGGAAGACTGTCACCGTGCCGTCTGACCCATTTTCGAAAGTACAATGGTCGTGCAAAATACGTGTGCCGTTCAACCGGATATTGGCCTGGTGGTCGGCGTTTGTATCCATGTTGCCCACAGTGGTCGTGCCAGGCTTGAGGTTGTACACGAGACATTCGGCCAGTAAAGGATCATCGGACAAGTTGACCAAATGGGGCATCTTCTTTGGCGTTGATAAGCCAATGAATCCCTTTTCAATGCTAATTCCCAGCTCTTCCAAAGCAGCCTCACGCTCCTTGTGGATTTCTTCCGTCTTCAGAAGCTTCTCCTCCCATGTTTGGTTAAGGTCTGTCAGCAGTTTCTCGCTCTGGCTGAGTTGCTCCGCGATTTCGGCCTTGGAGACCTTCTTGACGGTACCATCGGCACCAGTGATGCTAACCATTTGCTTTTCCAGTGGCGTGTTCGGGTCATACATCTCGTCGGCAGGCACGGCGGCGCCAGCAACACCGCCAGGGACACCTCCGCCCAACTTGCTTCGGAGCAGAGCCAGTTCTTCTTTGAGCTCACGAATCATGCGGGCGTTGGCATCTTCGTTGACGACAGCGTGGTTCTTGATACGTTTAGCCGAGTCGGCGTATCGGAGAGTACTCAGCGTCTCATCGTAGTTGATGTCTGCGGGACTAATGGCCGCAATCATGGCCGTCATACTGTTTCCACCGAGCGAGTCCTTCAGCAACCAGGTCAAAATACTGTCTCGGTACGGCACCTGGCCTGAGCCCTTCTTCTTCTTGCCAGTTGACATATCAGCCAATGCCGCAATGACACGACCAAGGGTAGAGAGGGATCGGTTGATTTCCGCACCCTCCTTCAAACGCGCGCCAGTCGCTCCGGTCGAATTGGCTCTTTCCGAACCAGCCAAATCGACCAGACTGATCTTGGCAACCTTCTCGGCCTCCATCTTCGTCTCTATATCCTTCTTCTTCTGCGTCAACATCAGCGTGAAGACAGCGTGACTTCGACTGGATGTTTCGTTCATGTTTGTCGCCGCCACCGTTCTGGCCTTGTTACCCTCGTCCATCAGGTGCTCAATCTCCTGGAAGCCAGTAACAACTAGCTTTGCCAAATCTTCTACGTAGGGTCCAGTAGAGGGATGTTCACGGACTTTGAGGCCGCTCTTGGTGGACGGGTTGAGCAAATCGCGGACTCGTTCGTTGTAAATCTCGAGGTAGGAAACTTCCACCGTACACTTGGTGACACCATCCGCCTGGATGGTCTGGATGCGGTTGAACATCTCCTGGCAAATCATGGGGATAATTCCCACTTCCTTACCATATCCCATCATGGAATACGACTTTCCGGACCCGGTCTGGCCATATGCGAAAATACAGTTGTTGTACCCATCGAAGGCATTGTCGAGCAACGGGGCTCCAAGATCGTCGAAGAGGTTGTTCTGTCCCGCATAGTTGCTATCAGCCTTGTTGAAGGACCAGTATGACCTGTCGAATGCGAAAGATTTCGGCTGGTTGTCCTTGGCGCCGCCCTTGCCTTGGTGTCCGTCGGGTACTGTGATGATAGTCTGGTTGTCCTTCATTTCCACGATCCGCTTCGCTCCTCTGTCCATTTCTAGATCAAACCGTCAGCCCCAACCGTCGCGCGTTATCGCGGAGAGCAAAGTTTAAGCCTACCTCTGCTGTTAAACGGCCGCACCCTCACCACCACCTTAATGTTGCCACCTCCGCCGGGCGCCATGATTGCTCGAGTCGATGCGGGGACCCAGCTTGGCCCCCTACGAAGGTTTTGTGGCTTCGGTCAACGTTGTCAGAACAACCCGCTGGCTCCCAGGTTTCCGTCTGGACGCTGGCTGTATTTCCACCTCGGTGCGTGTCTTTGATTCGCCTACCGCATCATCCGTGAGACAATTCAAGATCAGAAGCGCCCTATGCCCAGCTTGCGCCGGTGCGGAACAGGATAGACAAGGGGCAGCAAGCGACACCGTACTCGTTCGTCGGGAGATGCACTAGGGAGAGCTGTAGCTTTCGAAAATAGTCGCAGGCGATACTAGCTGAGGGAACGTGGGGTTCGTACGAGTTCCGCGGTTTTGGATGCTGTTGTTTACAGACAAGGAAAAAAGTAATTATGATATGGACGAAATAGAAGCACTAGTGCAGCACGCACACCTCTAAATCCACCCTGGAATCCCACGACTCAACTTGTACGTATCTCATGAAACGCGGTCGCGGGCCGGACGGGCGTGATGCTGCAGATGCGCACGTGAAATTGCCCACCCCCTTCCACCAGCCGGGTATTAGCCGGCGCTGCCTCTCACTCCGCCAAATGCCTAGCACGCACCCGGGCTCTCACACCCCGAGTTTTATTAACGACGTAATCTGGGCTTCGTATCCTGGCCGATGCATAATGTTTACCCTCGCTTGGTGATGGCGACTCTCTGCAATCTTAAGTAAGTCAATTTATGAATTTCTCAACTCGCAATGCAGGTCATGTCTTTCGGCCTTCTTCTTACGGCGGCCCTTTCTTCAACAGTATTCACTTGTAGGTATTCTTAGCTCAGTTGACCAGCACCCTTGCAGATGAACATCTGCGCTTTGTCGACTTCTCCTATTTTTCCATAATGTGCGCAAACCCTTTGCAATAATAAAATAAGTAAATATACTGCCTCTTTCGATGGAGGGGCTGCCTAAACAACCACCGGCATAACCACGCACGCCGACTGTGTACTTTGTGCGTACATAGTAGCAGCGCAATTGTCAACCTTCCGCTGGTCACGCGCCAATAAGCTGTGGACTACTATTGTGTTCAAAATACCAGGCTTGCCTATCAGTCTCCCAAGAAATTCTTCTCACGGGGCAACACCCTTCCTTCGCATAAAGCCGAGTCATCTCCTCCTGCGGGATGGTCAATGCATGTACCTCACACGCAGCTTTGCGAACTCTTCATTGGTGGGTTGGCCGCACTTAATGCAGCCTCTCTGAGATGCCTCTCAGAAGACGGACAGCGACTGGCTTACCGGCAGTGGATGGGGCCAGAGATGTATGACATGCGTCTTGGTTGCTGCGGAGTCTCTGCTCTGAAGATGCAGTGGTTCCGAATTCCTCCTCACGCAGGGAGTTTGTTTGTGAAACCGTGTCTTACTTGACCAATCAGCCGAAACTTGATGCCGGAGCTCAATGAGTAATTAGAAAAGTTTCCTCGATTGTGATTTCGATCCCGGTGGCTTTACTCCTTGTTTGTCTTCTTCTCAAAGCTCAGCTCATACCGGTCTACGTTTAGTGGTCCGGTGGACCAAAGTACTAGCGCTTGTATATGAACCGAAGCTGCCTGTGTAGAGGTCGAAGGCGCAGTTGGAGCAGAAGCAGCGCCTGGTTTGGCTGTGATGTATCCAATGATGTTGACCCATTCACCAACACGGGTCTGTTCTTCTCCCAAAGTCTCCAGGACAAGACTCACGTCCACATGAGCCGTGACATTGGTGTCTCTAGGGTATGCATGCGCGAGCTGAAGAATCGCACCCCTTGTTGAATATGCAAGCACACTGCACCACCAGATCATCAGCCTTGCAAGGTAAAAATAAGAATGGAAGATCTGTCAATAGTTTGTTTCACTGCATATTGGCGGTAACACCATGCGAACCGGATCCCTCTGTTTGCACATACCATCCAAGAAAGCGCACCTTGTCATGAACTGCGTATGCCGGTAACTGTGACAGTAGGCACAGCTGTGAGGGCAGAGGACCACGCGACATTCCCGCGTAAATCTGGGCCGAATTTCACACCTTATCTCAAGAGCATAGGCGCCATATACGCGAGAGTAGACAATGATCTCACCGACCAACGATAGATTGAGAATTCGGCTGGTCCCAGGACTGGGAAGCAGTCACGGGTAGTGCAGGATTTGGAGCCACTTACCAAGTGTGACGTGAGCTCCACAGTGCTATTTCACATACCACAAACTGTACCGCGATGCCATTTAATAGCACGACATCTGCCAGCACCTGCTTATGAGGTTATTTGCCGTATCTGCCATAATATCGGTCCAGTCTCCTCACAATCCAAGTACTTGACATTCACATCCGATTACAATGGCTTCCGACAGCTTTCCTCGGTATCTCTACAAAATAGTCCCGACGGCCCCCCCGGAGCCCTTGCCTCAAGAATATCCTCTCTCGGAGCTCGACCAGACTGATGGCTTTGTTCATCTGAGCACTGACGAGCAGGTAGGTGGTGCGAATAAAACGCAGCATCACATGAGTCTGCTGACATGCTGTAGGTACCGAACACTTGTGACCTCTTTTTTACCCAGACCACCCAGCTCTGGGTGTTGAAGCTGGAGTTGGCCCCAATCAAGGCCGATATCAAGTGGGAGGGCGGCTTCCCCCACCTGTACGCCAACTTCGGAGCCAAGCAAGTAGTTTCCGTCAACAAATTTAGCAGATCAGAGGATCAGAAGTGGAGCGAAAACATGAAGGGCTCTACGTGGCTGGAATAGCGGCTTTCGTCCAATTTATTTTTTATATTTCAGGTTTTCAAACCAAGGTCCTCGTAATAGCTTGAGCTGAATATATCTGCATATATCTGCCCCCTCTAAGTTTTGGGTTTATTGAGCTCTATGAAGTTTGACACCCTTTTTGTCTTCCAAGGATGCTTATGCCTTGAGTCCCAAATCCTTCTCTACCATACCCTTGCAGATGGGGTGGTAAAAGTCCTGGTTCTTCTTGAATGTCTCCAGCGCAAGCTCGCGGTCGACCTTGTTCAGCTCGCGGAACAGAGGTCGGACAAACTTCATGCGGCCAACCTGTCCGAGAAGTTCGGCAACACCAGCGTAGGAAGATGATTCTGAACCTCTCATGGCGATGACATAGTAGGCCGATTTGAGCTCGACATTCTGCGAGGTCGTGAACTCGTACACTTCGCCAAGTAGTTTCGCCCTTTCCGCACTTAAGGCTTTCTGCTGTTGGATCGTCTCAAGGAAGACGAGCTTCTGATTCCCAGTGAAGGATTCGACATCTTTGGCGCTTGGCTTGAAGGACTAAGGTAATAGCAATGGTTAGTATAGATGACATACGAAGGGGTGGGGGCTAAGTCGAGTATAGCAAAGCAAGAGAAACTCACATCATCTTCCCACTTGGCAGCCAACTCATAGCACTGGTTGGCTAGGCTGGTGTCGAAGGTAGGTTTGGGTGGGAGACCCGGAGTGTAGAGTCGGCCTTCCCAGTCAATGTCCTTGATCTTAAGCTTGATCTCCTCATCGCCAAGGTTGTTGAAAAAGTCCATGAAGGTATCACGGAACTCAAAAGAGTCCAGGGACTTTCCTGACCACTTCGTGAAGTAATGGGGAATGAACTTATCAAAGTTAGGGCGGCCGACTACTCGTTCAAGATAATAGACAAGGTGGAAACCCTTTTCGTAAGCGATGGTGCTGTATACATCCTCGGGATCGACGTTATCATGGCTAATGATGAGTTTGGTGTACTCATGATTTTCACCAAAGTGCTTCACAGCGTCCTCTGGATAATGTTAGCAAAAGTATATGCAAGTCTTTTGGAAAGGAGGCGTAAGGGAAGGGTTACCAAGGGCTTTCCAGCCAAGGATGGCAGAGAAGTCAAACTCGGCGTCGCCATGAATCACAGCCTGGATTCGGCGCTCAAGATACATAGTCCAACCTTCATTGAGCCAGCTAGTGGGAATCAGCAAGGGGTCTTGGATTGCGATGACCAATGTCGGAGATTAACTCACAAATGCTCCCAGCTGGCATTGGAAACCAGATTACCACTCCAGCTATGGCTGAGCTCGTGAGCAATCACGTCGACATTTTGACGGTCGCCGCTGATGATGGTTGGTGTAGCGAAGGTATAGATGGGGTTCTCCATCCCTTGACTAGAATTAGCATTGAAAAGCTCATGATAGGGCAATAATTTTTGCATTTACCTCCGTAAGGGAAGCTGGGGGGAAGAATCAACACATTATAGGCCCCCCACTTGTAGGGGAAGACAAGCTTCTCAGCAACCTCCATAAACTTCTCCATGTCTCTTTCGAGCTCCCACTTACAGCCCTCGAGCTCATTTGGCCCGGTGGCGACGACAGATCGCGGACCAATCGGCGCGGTAACAATGTCACCGGAGGCAACGGCAAAGAGATAGGAAGGGATGGGGACCTTTTGCTCGAACTTGTACAGCTTAGACACGCCAGGGGTTGCTTCATGATCCCCGACAGGAACACCGCTAGCTACCACGGGCAGAGTGGAAGTCAAATTGAACGTAAAGGGAGATTTGACGTCAGGTGTATCTTGGCAGGGGAATATAGAGCGGGCATTGATAGCCTGGCACTGAGAGAACATGTAGGGGTGCTTCTTATTGGAAGTTTGCGCAGGCGTAAGCCATTGCAGGGCAGTACACTTCTCAGTCGTTTCCAAATTAATGGTCAAATTGATAATCTCGCCCTTGGGAGCGCCCCCAGGGACGGAAACATGCAGAGGGGCGCCGAGGGGTTCAGAATGGGGCTTCAGCTCCCACTGGGAGTCGACCGAATTGACATTGATGGAGGAGACCTTGACATGTCTCGAGTCAAGAACAACCTCGGTACTCTCCTTATCGGTCTGGGACTCGAGTTGAAGAACAACGGACCCCTTGAGACGCTTGGCGTCGAAGTCGAGGGTGAAGTTGGCGGTGGTGTGCTTAGTGCGCCACTCTCCGTAGTTGGATCTGGTGCTTGGGTCCCGGACAGCCATGGTCACCGATGATGCAAAGGATCGCTGGCAAGATTTGATGTTGACGGTGAGAGTTGTGGGTTGCTTGGTGAGACCTGCTCGCTTCAGAATTGACGAGAGCCACGACATGAGCAACCGCTCTTTTTCACTTCACCGAGAAAAACACGTCAGAGCCGAGACAAGCCGTCCAGTCTGCACCTAACCCACTTGCTTGGTCGTTGAAGCTTCCTCATCGGTTGGCTGTTCCAGCGCTCATGCCTAAACGGGACACAGAGTCACGTGCGCTCAGCTGCAGCTGGGCCGTGGTTCCGTCGCAGCTAAACTTTTATCACGTTCATAATCTCACATCAAACTTTCATAATCTTATGCGGCTGTCCTTATAATCATGATGAGGATCATAGGATGCCCATTGAGGGACTTGTTCATCTGAACCTGTTTCATGCTGCGCTATTGATCCGCTACTGATGCTTGGTAAGTGAGGGAGGGAGCAAACTGAGCGAAAAGGACCGCATCTATTCATCCGAGCAAAAGCCCGTCAGAACTGGAAGATCGCAATTTGAACTAGGATCGTGAGGCTGCATTGTCCGCTCGGAGATGCTGCGGTTCTCAGCATTCCATGGAGTGGAGAGAGCTGCCTCGGCGTGTGAGCTATCAAGACAGCTGAATGCGTTACCGCTCAGAAGAGGTTAAAGCCCCGTTTTAGACTTCGGATGGAATTTTCACTGCCTTGGAATGAGCGTCCACGGATCCCTCCTCCGTAGATGGGTTTGGTGTCTTCATCTCTTGGAAGAGGAGCCTCCACTGCTGTGCATGATGGAGGGATTCGATATGTGCCAAGGCCACTCAAACAGCGACCTCTTGGGCGATGACGAACACATAGGCCAAACTCACTACAGCTTTCTGCATTCCATTTCTTACATGGTACTCACTCATGAGTATGATACCGTGTAGTTTCGCTTCCAACTGGCTGGTCCCTGGAACAAGCGGAGGTGTTTGCCATCAGAGTTTCACCCCGGATTTCTCCCACTACAATTCATGAAAGACGCCATTGTTGAGATCATGAACTAGGCCTTGTTGGCGTGGATGGCGACACCACGATAACGAAAACGAATCTTGACCCACCTAGGCGTGGTTACAGGGCTGGCAAGTCTGATGGGTATGAGGGTTTGGGTAACGAGGGATTGTTTCAAGTTTCCCATGTGGCCATGATGCTTCAAGGGTCCAAAACCGGGGAAACTGGTTGTGAAGAGAGATGGCAACTCTTACAAAGAGTGACTGAGCCTGTTTTAGCTGTTGATGACATTCGCAGAGCAGGGGGCCCATTCCGTGCATTCGGCCTGGCATCTAGTGATATCATGAACAGCATTCTGTCGGCAAACAGTGGGTAGCTAATCATCAAGAGCAGCCAAACTTAGGCTGCAGTGAGTGGAAACATGGATCTCACGAAAGGACTTTCCTCTTGGGATGCCTCGCTGTGGGGCCAGTATTCCTTCACTGGGACATCAGGAACCGGAGACAAGCTCCCGTCATCGTCTGACAATATCCCACGATGCAAGCCTTTGATTAATCAAAGCCCAAAGCACGAGGCCGCAGGTGGTGGCCTTCATGGGCAATGGGGGAAGAAAGAGCCTGAGCTAAAGACCCCAGCGCCGGTGTTTGCCAACCTAACCCAGGGCTTCGCCTGCTGGGAGCGGCCGTCTGTGGGTCGTATTAAATTCTGCAAAGAAGATCGAAAGAGCGCCTTCTGCTTATTCGATTGCTGGGCCTTGTAAAAAGGAGGTTGGTCCCGGGAGTGAGGTTGTCCGAGCGTGCGCGCTGGTGGTTCCTGCAGAATCACCGGCCAAGGGTCACAAACCATCCGATTGGTAATACCTGCTGTGCATGAGCGCACTGCTTCTAGAATCATGACGCCGGGAATAGATGAAATTTCTGCACGTGCGTATTGGCGGGCCTGTAAAATGTTGCGCTTGCTTCCTGTTAACCTGCAGGTGCGTGGATATGGACGGACGCAGCCCAAGAAGGGCCAAGGTGGACAAGGGCAGCACATGGAAATCGAGTGTAAGCGAGTTGGTGCGTGCTTATAGTCAAGCCGGGACGCTTGATTAGTGGCCAATGCCCGACAAGCAACCAAAATATGAAGTGACAGGGACCGAATGCGTGGTAATTAGGTGCAGGACAGGCAGGGAGTAGTTGGGACGAGGCCCAACACCACGCCGGGTTGGGAACGCGGAACAGGGCTCGCCGGGGAAGCAGCACTAGGTCATTATCGCAGGCCGATAACTGACGAGAATCTTGGTCATAGTAATACAGTCGTTCATCCACCGGTGACCACCGCTAACCCACCATCATGGTCCAGGCCATGAGCGCAGGGCCATTGTCGGGGATTTGGCGAGTGGGTAATAACGGGTAGTAGTAAGTCGATGGGTCACCCCCGGGCGGGTTTGAGCCGTTTGCCATCATCAGCCGTCTCGAAGGCTTCTCATTGCTCCAGGAGAGAGGGCGCGAGAGAGCACGGGACAGCCAAGGCCCTTTACCGACGGTCGCTCACCGTAGACCAGGCTGGGGAAGGCCCTTCCATGTAATCGCAGTGGCCACAGCTTGGACGAGCGCAATGAATTGTTCGAATGAAATGTACAGGCAAGTACCATGGGCGGACATCAGGGAGCATCCAGGTACTGTCAAGTACTAGCAGCCACTGAGGGAGGTGATTGCAGCTTGGGCAGGTACGAACATAACAGGACGGAATGTTATGGCGGAAGGAAGGAAGGAACCACATCAACCTAGTGCCAATGAAGCGATCACCTCAGTAAGCGGCGTCCGATTCACTGATGGCACTGCAGAATCAGAATCACCAGACCTCCAGCGACTTTGGCTCTGCACTAATGCGGCAGAACCACCTCACAACGTTCCTTCAGCACATCTCCAACCAAGGCTGTGCTATCTATATCCGTCTGACGTCCCTGTAATGGCACTGGTCCGCCGCTACATCCAAGAGCCTGCCTCACGTATGTAGCGGGGAGACGAAGCCCAGTTTTTACGGTGGATAGAGGTCATGAAACATGCCTCGGGCGAGTGAGAAGTTCTCTCGACGCCGGCAGACATGCATGTGTTGCACCAGATTACGGCGAGACCAGGGATCCCAGCGTTTTATCCTGTCCCCTCATTGTCAGCATCCCTGTCAATGCCCGCAAGCCGGGCTAGGATGCCAGGGGATTTAGCCCAGTCTGGACGACCTCTCGATACCTGTCCGCTCTCGTCTCGTCTCGCCCCGCCCCGCCAATGCATTGGGATGTCCTTGAGCCCCTGATTGACTCGACCTTGTGCGAGCTTCTTGTTCAAGATGGGTGACCAGCGGGCAGAGTGCCAACCGCTAGGCACACCACACACCCCAATGCGACTCTTGCAGCTCTCCTCGTGGTCGTTGGTGCGAGAGGAGTGCTACGGCCCTTCCCATTGTTTCATCTGAGACTTGCTTTGCTGCAAGGGACAATGGCCATGACGACGACGGCCAAGACGATGATGTATGATGATGCACCAATGCTACACGCCCAGCCATGCCTATTCTTATGCACAATGCAATGTGCCAGTTGCTGCTCCCCACACTTTCTGTCGGCTGGTTGGTCTCTTCTGGTAGCCCTGGTCACCACTGCCTGCTCGGTGGTGAGAGGCGCTCGCCGGTTCGACTTCTTGGATCCTTGGGGGCCTGGGGCGGGTTACGATCCTGGTTCCCGGCCGCCACCCTCGCCCCTTGGAGGCTTCAAGAAGCAGGGTTCTTTCGGGCATCGCACTAACTAACCTTCTGAGACTGCGAGCAGCTGTTGGAAGAAAAGTACGTACAGAGTTATTCTAGTACTCCGCCTGAGCTTGTTCTTGGCACGTCCTAGTTCCGGATGCTACCAACAAGGAGTGGACAGGCACTGAGAAAATAATAATATCTGAGCGCTACCCATTCTAGATCTTGGATTTAACCTTCCACCTCTCCCACTGTCCGAGGATAGAGTCGTGTTTGAAACAACGACTGATTGGAGCCAGTCTCTTCTCAAACACCATGGCCCACATTGCTGCTTGTATGGCGGGAAACCGTTCCAGCATTTCACTTCAGACCATCGCCAGGAGCGAGTCGGTAGGTTCTGCCCTCTGTTCCTCCAACGTAGTCTACCCAGACTAGATACGCTCGGAACATAGCACTAACTCACCTCGCGGTGCATCAGCCAATGCCATCTAATTCTGGCTCACCCACGCCTTCTCACCCGTTGAGAATGCAGCAGGGACAGGAGCAGCCAAAAAGATACCAGTTCTTCCCCCGAGAGACTCAGCTTCCAGTTCTCAATAGCAACAAAGCCCTGGATCCCGAGAAGGCATACGCTTTTGCAATGGCTCAAAAGGTCAATCGATCCGAGAGGCAAGCCGGCTCCCCAGGGCAACGATCTGGTGCCAGCTCATCCCTGTCTATGCGACGACGCAAACCTAGCGTGCCAGACATTGAACCCGTCCCTACTTTCATAGACATAGACAAGCCAATGGATTCCCGTATGTATAACACGACCTTTATTCTATCCTTTTTAAAACTAACCAAATGCCAGCCACAATCCCCGGGCGACCGCCGCTGCATGAGAGGTCGAATAGCGCGCCTGGAGGCGACGGGAAGGAGTCTATCGAGAGGAAGCCAAGGGTTTATCACCAAATGGAAAGAGATGAAAGTGCCACCTCACGAACCAAGCCTCTCGAGAAGAAGCGTTCAGTTTCAAATCGCCGGGGAGCGTCGCCAAAACGCCTCGCCCCCATTGTGATTCCTCAATTTGTTTCGAAACCTCGCAGATTACTATCCAAAAGGTCCTTCAGTCACCTTCGATCAGGGAGTGTGTCCGATGAGAGTTTAAGATCCAACCAGTTAACCCAGCAGTCGAATGGGCGAAGCCCACCCACTCCTCCAACTGCGTCCGCCACGGATTTGACCAGTCCATACTCAGCAGCTACTCCTCATTCAGCAGCCACTCCGCACTCAGCACGCCTAAACCCATTGCTCACAAAGCCTTTGCCCACGCCGATGTCAGCTCCAGCATCCCAGTCGCAATGGGCATCAAGCAGACCTTGGGCCGAAGTGTCTACTCCGGCGCCAGTGGAAGAAGAACCAGCTCAGTCAGCCTCGCAACCAGCAGTACCTAGCAAATCTCACCCAACCTCATCCCAACATCACCGACGAGGGGCTTCTGAATCTATCATGGACCGAGGCCGCCCCAGAAAACGAACCAGCTCTCGAAATAAAAATGGATCCGAGCCTCGACAATCCGTCGCTGTCCCGGAGGAGACCATTACGCAAACTACATTCGACAAGCTTCCTAGTGGCTCACGGCCCGAACACGCAGCGGCCAACATGACAACAAGCCAAGCTGCCAGCCTGCAGAGACAAGCATTGCGGCAAGCAATGCAATTCGAGGTGCTTAGTGCTGGGGATGTGGAAGCACTCTCAAAGGTAAGACTGGCACCAAGCCCAACAGGCACTTAGAATACGGCCGACTAACAAGCAATGTCAAGGAGCTTCATCGATTGGATGAAAGAACCCAGTATCTCCGCAATACATACAACTCAATTCGGGCTGGGCGACGTAATTTACAGGAGCGAATTTGCCAATTTCATCGTATTGCCCGTGTGGCCAAGTACAGCTGCGACACCATGCTAAAACAGGAAGAGGCTCTGGCAGACCTCGATGCCTGCATTGATGAATGGGTGAACAAGTTGGAACGAGCCGAAGACCGCCGCACACGAATCAGACAGAAGCTGCTTGAGCATGTTGCAGCAGCAGCGATCATGTCTATCCCCGATCTGGTGAAGACGACAGTGACAGAGGGGAGCGACGATACCTCTGAACAAGCAGCGGAGAACCACACGCCTACGTTACACGGAATTTTCACGCCACCCAGGTCACCATCAAGGAATGCATCTCCAGCCAGCTCTGCCTCGCCGCCCCGGTTGGCCGCGCATGTACCTAGCACAATCCTGGAACAGCCTGTTGTGGAAGCAGAAGAAGAAGAGAGCTTCAACGAGACCCAGGTGCAGGCTTCTTCAGCATCTGTGGTATCCACCTCCTCGAAGCGTGAAGAGATTCAGAGCATTCGAGTGTACGCCGGTGACGATATTTACACATTGCTGGCCGATGTGGAGAGCGAGATGACCAAGATGAGACACAGCGTGAATGAGGCGATTCGCGAAGCTCTGCCGGAGACAGAGCAAACTCCGGAACTGGAGCATGACAGGAGCGCTGAACTACTTTGCGGGCTCGAAGAATTGACAATTCCCGACCTTGTGGGGAGAAGGAGATCTCTTAGCAGCCCTCTCCCCAATTCACCACCAGCGCCTCCCCCTCCCATCAAAGACTTTCCTATTAAGAAGAGATACTCACGAGATGTGAGTTCTATGTTATAAAGAGCCCAAGGTGGAATGGGCAGGAAGACATTGCATATCATGACGATTCCTCTTTGTTTACTATCTCTCCCTATCTCTCCTTGTCTTATTTCTCATGATTGATAGAACTCTACATATCTACACAAGTAGCTAGCTACCTTACCTACCTACCTACCCAGTATTTCTAGTGGTAATTTACGAATCATCCAACCTCACTGCATCGTTCTTCTCTTGCTGTCATGAAACCATCTACCATTTCTCAATTGGGTCATTCCTTGGCATGGCTTCGTGAGGGGCAGTCATACAACGCAACCTCTTTAGTTTAAATCCAGGGCCCCCTGCTCGTTTGTGAGGTCGCATGGGAATGCCAGAAGCAGAGATCTGAAACAAGACTATTGATTAAGGAGGCAGGCGTGTCCTGCATTAGGGCGGGCCTGTGCTTGATTTGGCAGGCCACTAAACTATTGGGGGCTGTCAAGTCCATCCAGGGCATTGCATGGGTTGCAACATGAGAAATAATGGGCCTCCGGCAATGGACCATGGACGACTTGCATGTTGATGGATAGGTGCCTCTCGGTCACAACTCAACACAGCTCCTCCTGCACCTCCATGTGCATTCGTCACGGCTAGAAAAGGTCATCACGTCGTAGTGGCTCGGGTTAGTTGATGTAACTGCATACGACTTAATTGTTCTATTAAAAACAGAGCTACATGGGCTGTTCGCTATCGTGATGGGGGTTATTGCCAACGCACAGCATGGATCAGTGGTAAACTACCATCACTATTAACTGGCCTATAGCATATGGCGATTATTATCGGTGGCATTATTGCCACTGCTGCCTAACACTCATGACTGTCTCAAAAGCCCATGATCTCGGAGGCTCAGTAGTGCTCACGCCCCCACGACAGAAGCCATATATCCACGCCTCTTATATGTGGCAGTGCCAAACCGAGGCGGAATGTCGAATGGATCCATTTACACGCCTCCGACAAAACTGGTAGCCTCTGGCGCATGACTTCCGAAAAACACGAGGTCGAGGACAAGAAGCAAGAATCTTTTTATAGGTGGAAAGGTAACGTGGAGATTTTCGCATACAGAAGGCGAATCGGTTGATCAGCAGCTGGCCCGGGGGGTCGGTCTGGACGAAACGGTCCCAACCGGCCCTCTATGAAACCGTGATTTGGGCACGTTGACAAATCCTCCGAGCGAGCGTCGAGGCAGCTCGCTCGCAGATCCCGATGGGATGGCTAAGGAGGGCGCTTGGATCACCTCTCTAGGTTCATGAATCGTGGCCCCCGAGTTCAACTGCTTTTGCTGGTAGGTCGATACGGCACATCATCGATCAAAGTGTATTTTATTCTACAAGGACCGGGACCCTTACGAATCGCCCAAATCGGCTCGGTTGACGCTTTGACAGGAGCTAGGCAACCGAAGGTTATCAGCCCGGACCAACGCCGCTACGAGCGGGTGCTAAGGCGAACTAACTACATAGGCCCTTGGAGAGAGAAGTTCCTTGAGAACGTGGTCGCCCATCCCGGAATGCGTTAGGTGTGCCTAGGGCGAAACAGGTTGAGGTTAGACCGCCTGCTCTAGCGGTGGGGAGCTGAAAGAGCCCTTCATAAAAGAGCTTCGGCTAGCTAGACGAGCTTCTTCGAGGATCTCCGGGTCTCACGCTTGAGAATGTGACGAGAGGATTTCTGCAAACGGGCCTTTGAGAAAGACGGTGGCCCATGTCGGTGGCTCTTTTGACCTCCATCCACCAAAGTGTCAAAACCTTGCCCACGGGATCGCCCGGGATCACGTTGCACCCAGGTCAGGCCTCGCGGCATTCTCGTAAAGGAAGGACTCTGGGGGCCAGAAGGTCCCAAATGCCGAGTTGTCAGGGTCGTCGGAGAGGAATATCAGGAAGGAGGATGATCAGTTTGCTGTCACGGTGTCACCACTGTGCCTCTGCTTTGCCGCATCCATCGCCCAGTACGAGATCTGCCGAATTTCGCTATGCTAGGTAGGTGCCGAGAGGATAGGATGGGCTCGTAAAGCAGGTGCGTAGTTGCTACGTCGAACAAAGCCGAAGTCCTTCGTTGCTGTACAAGAGAGTACTTCCTGTGTCGAGAGAGTACAAACTTGTACATCTGACGGTCGAAACGCGCGTGTATTCCCAGCGTGTGCCATTTCCGACTCCATCGCGCAACCTTTGGATGTAAGATGAGCCCGTGGCTCATGGTATCGAGTTGTGTTATTGTTATTTAGTCAAGTGTTCCGAAGGAGCTATCCCACAACCAACCGTTTCGACGATGTGAGATCTCGTAGGCCTGGCTGGCTGGTGTTCTTGCTCTCGAAATCAGTGTATTCTAGACAGAGACTGCCCCTCAACGAGACTGGGATGCCAAATGGAAGAAAATAAAATGTGTTCATTCAACATAAATATATATCGTATTAGTATACCATGGCATTGCTTTGCGCACCACGTCTCTAATCATTTATGTGTGTCATGCCCGACGCCGCACCTGTGCCCGCAAAGGTGCTTTATTAAAACAATTCGTCAAGAAGAGAAAAGCCAGCCCGTAAACTCCTCGATAGTCATACAAACCCATTAGTGCGTTACCAGCCTCACGGCTTGAAGCATAAGTCCGAAAATCAGTCCTCGGGCGACCTCTTCGATTTGGAGACAGTCAAACACGCGGCCAAGTGCCTCGCTTGTTGCCGCCTGTCCCATGACACCCATCAGCGCCGCGGGAACACCACTTCGGATAAGCAATTGCCTGGCCCTGACTCTTAGCTTCTCCTTCTCCTCCGCGGTCATTTCCGCAGGCCAGTTTGCTCGCTCTGCTTCCGTGGGCATGGCGTTCTCCCTCATCATACGGAGCTGTTCAGCAATTCCGGCATCCGAGGTGTTGACATCAAGCACTGATGATTGAATGAGGTTTTGTACCGTGAGCAACGAAGGGTTACCAGGGCGGAGTAGAAAGGACTTTGCGGCCGTTAGAAGCGTTCGGCGGATATTCCATGCTGAAGATAATGTGTACATCTCATTGATCACGGCGAAAATCAGCTCCACGGCAACTCGCGTCTCTCCCTCGGTGAGTGGTGAATATTGCCTACTGGGTGGAGTTGAGCCTTTCCGAGCACCCGCCGAGAGGGGGAACGAAGGTGTGCCAGGCGAGATGGCTTGGTTGCGTGTATCTAGCCTGGGGAGGCTTTTGCTCGACTTGACACCCGATTCCCCACTGCCGGGAAACACATAATCATCTGATATCTCGTCCGGGTGGGGAGGAAGCCTTAGGTCACTCAAGCTCATGGATGACGGCGAACGGGTTGGAGCCAAGCTGGAGGTCCTGCTGTGTTCGTGGCTCTGCCGCCCGCTGGCAAGTCCTGATGAACGGCCTACTCTAGGGGCTTCCATGTCGTAATCTCCCGACTGAGACTGGTAGCTGGGACGTCTCTCCATAGGTGGCATTTTGCCAGGTTGCGTTGAGATGACGGACGATCGCTCACTATCCATACTTGCTCGTTCGGACCTTACAGGTGACTTGGTATCTAAACGGGCGGGGGTGGAGAGCGAGAGGCGGCTTGTGCTTGCGCTGGCAGTGAGATCAACCGACTGGCTGGTGTTTTTGCGATTGAGCCCTGGGAAGTTACCGAAAACATTCTGGACTCCGCCGACAAGCTGTTTGCCACTCTCCATCGCGCCTTTTGGCCCCGTCAGTGCGTCCATCATGTTTTTCCCCATGGTGTCCCAGGCGAACTTTGACTCAGATTGAGTATGAGTATGGCCTTTTGATTTCTCCAAAAAGCGTTTCATTCCCTCACTCTCTGCCAAGGATGCATACCAACACGCATCGCGCAGGTATCTTTCCAGTTCTCCGCGCAAGGACTGTCGTGTATGAACCTTCCAGCTTGGTAAGTCTGTATGTAGTTCAGTGAATGCAGTAGCGCCCGAGATGGCTGCGATTCTGCGCAGAATCTCGTGGAGGGTTTCAAAGTCGGAGTATCTTCTCACAATCATCCACCCGGAGTAGTGAGAAGAGGAAGGCTCTGCCTGGATCAAGTAGTCCCAGTTTGGTTTGGTTCGAATTCGAGACTGATCACCCGCATCATCGTGAATTGTGAAGTTAGCATTATGTAAAGTCAGCGGAGGCTTCTTGGGTTGTGGCATATCCTCATCAAGATCTTCGTCTCGAACCGGAGGTGCTATTTGGTCAAAGCTTGTGAAATGGCCGATCGGCTTAGGTGGTGAGGTCTCCAGGCTAGGTATATCTGCCGGAGACCCTGGAGTAAGTGGTGTAGGGAGGGTTTCGCTTCTTGAGACGGTAGAAGGGTTTGACTGGACCGACGACTCGCCATTGGAAAAGGATTTCTTGTGGTGGTCAGCATTCGCCAAATCTAGCTCCACGGGCCTGTCCATTGAAGGCCGAACCGTAGATGCCCGGTCTCTGTTGGTGTGTACACCGTTGGTTTTCTTCATATTCTCCGCGACCACTTCCGCCTCTTCATCTGCCTTGCTTAATTTCTTCTTATGGATTTGCACCCCGTCCTTGCGGCGCATTTCTGCGGATGAACGCCCTGGCTTTGCTATGCTGATATTCCCAATATTTCCATCCATGTCAGCAAATGCATTTGACATTGGGTCTCTGCCTGTCTGCATGCCAACATCGATGGCCTGATTAAGATCAGGTTCTCCGCCTTCGAGAAGATAGACAATCCATCCGTTGATCCATTCTGGCTTGGAACAGGTTTGCAGTGTGGCCTCAAGGACAGTGTTGCTAATTATCTCGCGGAAGAAAATCCTGACGGGGTCGCAGTCTAACGAGGCTCGATCCAGGTACTGCAGCAGATCTTCAGCGACCATCTTAAACTTGGTGGCTTGCTGATTATGACTGAGAAGGTTTGCGAGGTGGCAGTCTGGGTGAGCGGCGAGGTAAACAGCAATCACTTCTTCTGCCCGCATAGTGCTCTCCGCAGGTACGTCTGCAAAAGCTGCGGATAATTCGGACATGAACACAATGACAATCGAGGCTGAGTTGGTGAGAAGATCTAAGAAAGCATCGGCTGGTCTTTTGCGATATAAATGATTCGAGATAGCCAGGAAATAGGAAGTCAAAGACTTTCGGGCAGCAAGAGGGAATGCATGGTCATTCGGTATAATCGGATTATACCAGCCCTTCACGTAGTCTCGAATCGCGGCATCGATCAGGCCACTCAGCGCTTCTTTGGTCTCTGGTCGGAAATCGTCAAGAGCTTTCATAACCACCTGCTCCTCCTTCCCGTTACTCTTTTGCGTTTTTGATTCATTTTCCTTCTTCTCGAGGTGGAGCCTTTCCAGCACATCAATGCCCTTCTCGCCCCTGATGGCCCTAGAAACCTCCGGATTCCGCGCCTCCCAAGAGATGAAGCCCAGAATGCCACCGACGGCGCCGATAAGAACCAGACCCAATCGGCCAAATATGATATAAACTACCGAGGCGAATCCGACAGATATGCTGACAAGAGTAGCGGGTGTGGCTGTAGACACGAACTGAAGAGCTTTGGTAGCCAGTGGCTCTTCCGCAGCTCCAAGAGAAGCTGTCGCGGGTTCCAGCGGAATCGTTCCCTTCTCTTCTGACGCTATTTTCTCGTCATCGGCTGCAGAATTTGCTGGTGAATGAAACTCGGGCGATTCGTCGGAATGGTCGTTTGCGCCGGGTGCGCTCTGTAGAGTCGCATCTTGACCACCAGCTACGCTCATTGGGGTAGCAGCTGGTCCAGAGTCTCCGGCCATGGAGTCGTGATGTTATTTTTATGTCGTTTCCGAACGAATACGCTTGGAAGAAGTCAGCCGCATTTCAAGACTTGTCATCTGAGGATCGGGCGGTGCTCTTCAATCCGAGAGAATGTGGTGGTGGGTTGGTGCGGGCGTGGTTGCGATCGGAAGAGATGAGGCAATGGAGGACAGACCATGGCCAAGCTTTCTGCTTCGGATGTTCAGGGGCTTACTTCCAACCGTAGCCCCGTTTCCAGTGAATATCAATGGTAATTATGGGTCGCAGTGGACCTGCAAGGCGAGGTTAAGAATAGAACCGGTCGGAAATGTCCCATGAGCAACCAGGTTGTTAATTAAAGTCATGGGAGGGATAAGGATAGCTGGGTAGTAGATAACAGATCCCACTAGTCGCAGCCGCGAAGTACTTAGTATAACGTGGTGCTCAATGTCTAAAACACACTATCTAACTGTTAACAACGGCGGAAAGTTGCCGCGAACGACGTTGCGGAGATCTGGCCCTTCCAGCTAACAAAGGCGCCTATACGTACCTTCTTACTCGCCTAATAACGTCAGCTACGATCCCAGTAGCACTATCACGTGCACCTCTTCCCAACGCGTCTCGCAGCTTTACGCCATAGACCATCTGCAGTCCCGCCATTGCAACCGCGTCGCAGACGACATTTTTCTTATCAACAAACACCTTTTTTTTTTGTAAGAATCGACGAACGCCATGGCCAGATTCGGGAAAAAGCGACGCGCCAGCTCGGTCGAAGATGGAGACGAGATGGAAGAACCAATGACCAACGCGCCGAAGAAAACAAAGAGCAACGCCGCTGGGGCACCAGCATCAGGCAAGGATGATGAAGGCAATCCTTTCTGGGAGGTAATGCATTTCTCTGGAGCACTACGAAGCGGCAAACAGCTAATCCCAGGATAGCTCTCGAACAAGCGTCGCGTCGGCATCTCGGAATTTAAGAAGACGTGCTTTATCAATGTCCGAGAATTCTATGAAAAGGATGGCAAAACTCTCCCGGGAAAGAAGGTATGCAATTCTACAAAATATCCCCTTTTTGGGGGCACCAATGGCCCAAGCAGTGCGCTAAAAGATATCCAGGGGATTTCGCTGTCTGTTGAGCAATACGCCGCCTTCCTCAAGGCTGTGCCCGGCATCAACGCTGCCCTCCGCGAGCTCGGGCACCCCGTGGACGATCTAGACGAGAGCGCCGACCATGTAAAGGTGTCCAAGCAATCGAAAGAAAAGACCAAGGCTGCCAAGACCAACTTTGAAGCTACCAGCGACGAAGATAATGCTGATTAGGGCTCGCCATGCTGGTCGGAAAATTGTCAATTGGGGGAAGGATTCACGGCCGCGAGAAAAATGACGGTCATCAATTGTGATTTCGTTTTGCTGCTTATAGTGTGCGCTGGAGTTTCGGTGTTCAACCAAGTCGATGGTTTCAGATACCCTGGGGAGGACCATTAAAGATCGCTCATGCTGCGGCTGAGTCAGGTTCTAAGAAAATATATGCCTAGTTTTGATGTCTTGCGAGCATTGCTATTACCCCTACGATAAAGGGGTGGTATGAAATAGCTGTTGGAACAGACCATGCGAGGCAGAGCCACTTTTTCATCCGAGAAGCTCGTGTCAGCTGGAATGACTATCACCGCAGCAATCGCAATCCTCTTTGCGAGCAACGGAATATGCAGTATAGCAGCAACAGCTCTCACTTTAGAAGCAACAGCGGTCACATTCAGAGCAACAGCGCTGCGCCTCGCGTTACGTGTGGAATGGCCTATTAATTAATCGAGTTCCCCACAACGGGAACCCCTAACTCCTGAACTCAACCTCCTCGTACAGTGTGGGTGCCGCTAATAATAACGCTGTATTAGCGAAAGATCAACGCCGTTATTGGGCCGCGACGCACTAATTGGCGTTATCTAGCATCATCCATTCTCCTTGCCTCGCTGTCCAGACCTCCCATCTCTTTTATTGTTGTCCAGCGCCCGCCGACCAAACGTCTCTCCTTTGGCTCCATCCTCGCAATTCTTATTTTTCTGTCTAGATCTAACCGGATAATTTGTTCCATTATAGTAATTATTTTCCTTGATTTGTGCTTTCTTCACTCAATACTGAATTTTCCTGAATGGGACCAAGGCATAACGACATACTCTAATTTTCATTCACCAACGACCTCTCTATCATCATTTTCATTTCATTGGTATTCAAATTTACCTTTTATTCCATTAATGATATAGCGCTTGAGCATCTACTGGTCATCCTCAGCTCACGAAGGGCAAAGACGAGTCATCAAACTCACAGCCATGAGCCTGCTGGAACGCTGGGGTCTGAGGCATGTCGAGTCGGTGGACGATTACCTGAGCGTATTGATCCCTCTTGACAAGGCCCATCTGTACAGCCACTCTGCCAAACAAGGCCGGGCAGGATCCGCCTCCCGCAGAGACGATGCGGAAGTTGGGGATGGCGACGAGGAAAAGGATGGCGAGAATGAAACATCCGGCATGCTACATGGCCATGCTGGCGAATACAGCATCGAAGGCCTAAGAAAGGAAATGAGACAAGGGAATCAAGGGAAATGGACAAGCAATGAGAGTATGTTGCTCCAACCTTCGCCAGGTGACCAAAGTGAGAATATTAACAAATGAGCAGTCAAGTCAAAACTTATCAATAAGGCGTTACAGGACATTGGAATGGGCACATATAATTGGCAGTTGTTTGCACTTTGCGGCTTTGGATGGTTTGCAGATAAGTAAGGATGATCATTTTCTTTGACCGTTGCGAGACAGTCTGGCTAATTCGCGTTACCTAGTTTATGGTTGCAGGTGAGAATCATGTTAGAAACCCGCGTTTCTCGGGGTATGTGCTAACTCGGTTTCAGGGTGCTTCTCTAACCTTGCCCTCGCTCTCAGCAGAGTTTGGTGTATCTGAAAAGACAGTCCGATACACTACAAGCGCCCTTTTCGTGGGTCTTGCGATTGGAAGCTTCTCGTGGGGCATTGGCTCTGACTATGTTGGCCGTCGCGTTCCGTTCAACGTCACTCTTCTCATTGCCAGCGTGTTTGGCATCGCCACAGCTTACCAGCAGAGTTGGGGAGGCGTCTGCTTCTTCTATGCTGCAATGGGTTTTGGTGTAGGCGGCAGTCTACCGGTCGATGGCGCCCTCTTCCTCGAGTTTCTTCCTGATGCTTCCAGCGCTCTTCTGACAGTACTATCTGTCTGGTGGCCTATCGGCCAGCTAGTCTCTTCGCTCATTGCCTGGTTTTTTATCGCACAGTGGCCTGCTGAGCAGGGCTGGCGATATTTTCTCGTCACAATTGGCATCATGACTTTTACCATGTTTGCCATTCGGTTTTTCGTATTCAGACTTCTCGAGTCGCCAAAGTATTTACTCAGCAAGGGCAGGCAGCATGAGGCTGTAGCCGTCATTCACGGCGTCGCATACAGAAATAAGACTCGAACTTGGCTGACATCCGAAATCATGGACGAAGTTGCGGCTGAGGATGATGGTACGATGGGCTACGAGGAACAAGAATACAAAAACTCGTCCTCCGGAAACCCTCTCGTGCAAAAGATCAAAGGCCTTTATTCCTCTGATAAACTCAAGCTCCTTTTCAGGGATAAGAAGTTGGGCCTTGCAACAGGACTTATGTGGTTCTGCTGGGCAGCTATTGGAATGGGCTACCCGTTGTTCAACGCTTTTCTTCCTCAGTACTTTGCCCGATACAGTGGCAAGGGCGAGGGCGCCAGCGTGCATTCGGAGACGTCTCCCATCACCGGCGAGACTTATCGAAACTACGCCATCACATCTGTGTTCGGTGTGCCTGGCAGTCTCATCGCCGCCTACCTCGTCGACCATCCCTCCCCTTTCTTCGGTCGGCGCGGCACCCTCGCCTCCTCGACCCTCATCTCGGCCGTGTTCCTCTTCTTCTTCGTCATCTGGGGCAACACCTCCACCAAGCAGCTCATCTTCTCCTGCGTCGGCTCATTCTCCCAGAACATCATGTACGGCGTGCTCTACGCCTTCACCCCCGAAATCTTCCCTACCCCAGTCCGAGGCGCTGGCTCCGGCGTGGCCAGCTTTCTGAACCGAGTGGCGGGGCTCTTTGCCCCCGTGATAGCGGCAAACGCTCCTGGAGATGGTGCTGATATGCCCATTTATCTGTCCGCGATACTAATTCTAATGGCATTCGTGTCGATCTGCTGCATCCCCATCGAAACTAGAGGAGCGCAGAGATTATAAGAGAATTTACTCATTTGAACCAAGTAAAATCTACACAAATGCAGAGCATCTACTCCTTTACCACACAGACCATATTGCCCACCCATTTCCACCATCTACGAAATGCAAGTTGCATTATCTTGAGATAGCACGTAAAAACTTAGTATTCAGGGGAGAACAAACCGTTCTATCTCTTATAGGTAGACTCCATTCTAGGCATGCCATGTCTATAGTTTACACAAATTGTACATTATGAATCATCTCGTTCCTTTGGCACCTGCAGGTGCGTCGACCCTTCTCCGTTTAAACGACGTACCCAAGGCGTCTCTGACCATCGGGTCCGCACGGATTGTGTTTTGCACCAACCACTCCTTCATCTTTCCACGGAGGTTAGCTGTGGCCTCTTTGTCATTCCTGAATGGTGCTGTCTCCATGTCCATCAGTCGGCCTGAATCAGCCTCTAACGTTCTTGCTGTTGCCTCAAGTCGATCCAAGTTTTGGGCCAAGGCCTTCTCTCCTTCTTGAGCTGCCGCTTGCCCCTTCTGCCAGTATGTTGCCACCAGAGGTCCGATTTGCGACATTGCAATATAAGTTGTGATTGTGACTTTCCGCGCAAGAGTGATTATTTGAAAGGGGAGGTAGGGCGGGTGCGAAGTCACCCTGGGAACGATGGCATTCACGGTGTTCAGAATGACCGGGAAGCCTGGGCGTGTGACGGTGTGCACCTCGAAGGTGCAAAGGATGATCAGGATAAGCCACCTATAGAACTGGCCAAACTCCAAGTATCCGAACAAGCTCAGCACGTAGATGGTAGCTGCGGCAATCCCGTAGTGTGGCAAGATGACCTGGAGGACACCACGCACGACGAAATCGTGGATAGATCTCGTCTTCTGCCACCTCAGGATGTCCGGGCCGAAGCGCTCGTAGGCGAAGCGCTTAGCTTGATCTTGGAGTGTCTCGCTGGCCATCTTGAGGTGCAGAAAGTACTCGGCCGTACCAGACGCATCGCCGGTGGTCTTGTCGGGGTGGTGGAGAGCTGCCAGGCGGCGGAACCGTGACTTGATATCTCGGTCGACGGCTGAGAAGGAGACGCCGAGGTCGGTGTAGAAGGAGGACTGTTTCTGGATTTCGTAATCGGCTTCGTAGATGGTATAGAGGAGGTACGCGGCGACGACGAGGATGTGTATTTTCCGTCGGTGGCTAGCATATCGAGGTGAGCCTGGCTGGGGCTTTGGGTCCCCGGCTCGTATCGTTAGACCGTAAAATATACTTTGGACCCATGATGTCGCAAGCTGTATTTCGAGAGAAATAGGTTAGCTGAATGCCAATAAAGAAACAGAGCGCCTATCTCATCGGCAAATAAACCAGATGAAGGCTGCGGAAGAACTCACGTTGGGGAGAAAGGACCAGCCCAAGATTGCTAGAAGATTGGACATGGTGGGTGGTAGGCAGCCACCGTCCCCGGCACAACACAACGGTAAGAGAAATGGGTGGGCGTCGGCGGGCGAGGTTTACCGTTGACGAAGCTGTGGTGAACGTAAGGTATGAGAATATCAAGTGTTGTGAAAGAAAGAAAAGAGCGGCAAACACAATGTGTCCTGAAGTTGTTGAAGGGCAGCGATATGAACAACTTGGCCGTTACAACTGGGACTTGGTATGTGCAGGTGTGACACAATCGCGCGCCAGTTATTTTAGACATGGATGTAAGTGGCGGGTCCCTAACCGGACATCAGGTCAAGTATACATGCAGTAGATTCACTGCTTACTGTTCGCGTAGAGCTACTTTGAGATACTTGAAGCCCCACAACACTTTCTCTCGTCCTGTCATAGGCGCCTTGTTGGCGATTGTCATTCGGCAGATATGCGCAAGCAGCCGCCGTAAATCTTACAGCTTCGTCTGTGCTGTCAGTCGAAAACACCATACAACATGCCCTGATGTGCTAAATATATAACTGATTAAAAGAAAATTAGAATACGAGGAGCACAAGGCTGTTCCAGGTTCAAATATATGTGCCCTCATCGCCTCGGTAGGCACATTGGACGTAGGCCCTGGACGCGGCAAGAAACAAGCAGAACAAGG